GCGAGTCCCTTGGACTGCAAGGCATTCAAACCAGTCAGTCCTAGAAGAGACCAACCCTGATTGTTCTTTAGAAGGCCAGATCCTGAAGTTGAAACTCAAATGCTTTGGCCACCTAATGAGAAGAAAGGACTCACTGGAGAAGAGCTTAATGCTGGGAAAGATTGAGGGCAATAGAAGAAGGGGACGACAAGAGAATGAGGTGGCTGGATGGAGTCACTGAAGCAGTAGGAGTGAGCTTAAATGGACTCCAGAAGATGGTAGAGGACAGGAAGACCCGGAGGAACATTGTCCACGGGGTCGTGATGGGTCGGACACGACTTCACAACTAACAACAACAAGAAATAAACCACTAGCTAAAGGGTTGGTGTCTCCAAGAAAACTTTGGTTTCCTGGACCATGGACTGCATTTCCTATGCAAAGGACTCTTGTCAAGGGATGGGCTGCACCTCACTAAAACAGGGAAAAATATACTCAGAAAAAGACTGGCCCAACTCATCAGGAGGGCTTTAAACTAAAATTGAGGGGGAAGGGTGACCTATCTTTAGAATCTCTAGAACAGAAAAAGTCATAAATCCCAAGAAAACAAACAATGAGATAGGGAGTGATGAGAAAAAAAGAAAAACTCTAACAACAATCAGGAGATGCAGGAAAGATACCCATGGACAAGCATAAAAGTCTTAAATGTTTATATACTAATGCTCAAAGCTTGGGGAACAAACAAGGTGAACTAGAAGCAGTAGTACATGAGGGCAGGTATGACATAGTTGGCGTTACAGAAACCTGGTGGGATGAAACCCATAACTGGAATGTACTGATGGATACAAATTGTTCAAAAGAAATAGATCTACAAAAAGAGGAGGGGGAGTTGTAAGAGAACACTACACATCTACAGAAACGCACATGATCAAAGATAAAATCCCTCCAGAATATATATGGGTCAATACAAAAGGGGAAAAAAGTGATATTGCCATAGGTGTATATTACAGGCCACCCAACCAATCAGAAGAAATAGATGAATTCTTTACCTGTTAACAAATGTATGTAGGAAGCATATCACAGTAGTAATGGGAGACTTCAACTATCCAGATATCAACTGGGAAACAAACTCTGCAGTGAGTGGGAGATCAGATTCTTAACCAACCTAGTCTACAACTTTATTATCCAAAAGGTGGAGGCAGGAACTAGAAGTAAAGCTATACTGGATCTAATTTTTACTAATTGAGAAGAAGTGATAGAGCAGTGGTTCTCAACCTGTGGGTCGGGACCCCATTTGGGGTCGAATGACCATTTCACGGGGGTCGCCAAACAACGCAGTCCGCCATTTTTTCCCCCTTTTCCTTAGCTGTGCTACTCCCTTTTATTCTATTGGCTTTTGAAAGCCAACAGAATAGACTCTATTGAATAGAGTCTAATTCTATTGGCTTTCAAAAGCCAATAGGAATTGTCCAGGCTGTCTCTGCCCTGCTGAGCCCCCCAAAAGTCCCATTCTGCAAACAGTGCTGCACCAGTTGAGTAGTCCCCGACTTACAACCGGTTGAGTAGTCCTCGACTTACGACCGGTTGGGGGTCGCGGCATTAAAAAGGTTGAGAACCACTGGTTCAGATCTACTTCCCCAAAAGAAATTCTGTGAATGGATTGATTGATCCTTCAGAATGACCACTCATCACCTAGAGGAGAAATAAAATGTTAATGCTGCTGCCTCTGAGCAGTCCAGTAAAGTACTCCTTGACTTATGACCACAACTGAGCCTAAAATTTCCATTGCTAAGCAAGACATTTGTTAAGTGAATTTTGTCCCACTTTACAATCTTTCTTGCCACAGTTGTTAAGTGAATCATTGCAGTTGTTAAGTTTTAACCTAGTTGTTAAGTGAATCTTGTTTCCCCACTGACTTTGCTTGTCAGAAGGTCGCAAAAGGGGATCACGTGATCCCGGGACATGGCAACCGTCATAAATATGAACCAGTTGCCAAGCATCTGAATTTTGATCATCTGACCATGGGGATGTTGCAACGGTCGTAAGTGTGAAAATTGGTCATAAGTCGCTTTTTCAGTGACGTTACTTTGAACGGTCCACAAATGAATTGCTGTAAGTTGAGGACTACCTGTATTTGAATGTAAAATCTGTTAGGCATTTTAGGGGATCCTACACTTATTTTCCTGTACCCATGAGAATCTATCAACCTTGCCTCCATCCGTGGTGTCCCTCCTGTGGCAAGGCCACTTTCTGTGTCTATTCTGACTCTGAGTTAAAAACGCCTTCTTTTAAATCAGTGGTTCTCAACCATGGTTCGGGACCCCATTTGGGGTCGAACGACCATTTCACGGGGGTCGCCAAACAATGCAGCCCACCATTTTTTTCCCCTTTTCCTTAGCTGTGCTGCTCCCTTTTATTCTATTGGCTTTTGAAAGCCAATAGAATAGACTCTCTTGAATAGAGTCTAATTCTATTGGCTTTCAAAAGCCAATAGGAATTGTCCAGGCTGTCTCTGCCCTGCTGAGCCCACCAAAAGTCCCATTCTGCAAACGGTGCTGCACCAGTTGAGTAGTCCTCGACTTACGACCGGTTGGGGGTCGCGGCATTAAAAAAGTTGAGAACCACTGTGATAGAGGGAGTCGAAGTTGCCGGAACCTTGGGGGAAAGTGACTATGTCATGCTGAAATTCAATATAATGCAAACACAAGCAATAGAAAATAATCCAACCAGAGTCTTAGACTTCAGAAGAGCTGATTTTAACAAACCCAGAGAGAACCTAAGAAAGATTCCATGGACAAAAATCCTAAAGAGGAAAAGAATGCAACAAGCATGGGAAACACTGAAAAATATGATCATAAAAGCCCAGTCCAGTACAATACCACTGAAAAAGAAAAATAAGAAATCCAAGAAGAAGCCAGCATGGCTGCACAAAGTTCTCTCTGACAAACTGAAAGACAAAAAGGACAAGTACAAAAAATTGAAAGAGGGACACATAACTAAGGCTGATTATCAGCAGACAGCTGGAACATGCAAAGAGGAAGTCAGGAAAGCAAAGGCTCAGAATGAACAAAGACTTGCAACAGAAATCAAGGATAATAAAAAATGTTTTTCAACATATAAATAACAAAAAAAGTCAAGGAAACTGTAGGTCCACTAAAGAGAGAAGATGGCAAGGAAGTAACAGGCAGTAGGGAGAAAGCAGAGCTGCTTTGCATCAGTCTTCACACAAAAAGAAATTATAGCCCAACATACCACAAAAACTAGAAACAAAAATTGAAATAAGCAAGAAAATGGTAAGAGAACACCTATCTGACCTTGATAAATATAAATCACTGGGACCTGACAGATTACATCCTAGAGTTCTGAAGGAGCTGGCAGATGTTTTCTGAGAACCATTGTACCATATTTTTCAAAAATCCTGGAACACCAGGGAAGTACCTGAGGATTGGAAGAGGGCTGATGTTCCCATCTTCAAGAAAGGGAAAAAAACCAGACCCAGGAAACTACAGACCAATCAGTCTAATATCAATACCTGGGAAGATCCTGGAAAAGATAATCATAAACCGATTTGCGAACAACTAGAAGCAAACAAAGCTATAACTGGTAGCCAGCATGGGTTTGTTAAAAACAGATCATGCCAAACCAATCTTATTTCATTCTTTGATAAAGTGACCAAATTAGTAGACTAGCAAAATGCAGTGGACATAGTATACTTAGATTTCAGTAAGGCATTTGACAAAGTAGACCACAATCTACTGCTTGGTAAGCTAGAAAAAGGTGGAATAGACAATATCACCACCAGATGGATTTGTAGCTGGTTGACAAACCATACTCAATGAATAGTCCTCAATGGTACTACATCCACATGGAGGGAAGTAAGCAGTGTGGTACTACAAGGCTCCATCTTAGGACCAGTATTCTTCAACATCTTCATCAATGACTTAGATGAGGGACTAGAAGGGGAACTCATCAAATTTGCAGATGACACCAAACTGGCAGGAATAGCCAACACCTCAGAAGACAAGATCAGGATGCAAAAAGATCTTGACAGACTTGAGCAATGAGCCCTATCCAAGAAATGAATTTTAATGTGGAGAAAAGCAAACTTTTACATTTAGGCAGGAAAAATCAAAGGTATAAGTACAGATCTGACTCAAAAAAGTAACTGTGAGAGGGACCTTGGAGTCCTAGTGGACGATCACTTGACTATGAGCCAGCAGTGTGCAGCAGCAGCCAAAAAAGCTAATATAATCTTGGGTTGTATAAGGCATAGAATCAAGATCACGTTAAGTATTAGTACCGCTTTATAAAACCCCAGTGAGACCACACCTGGAATACTGCAACCAATTTTGGTCACCAAACTACAAAAAAGATGTTGAGACTTTGGAAAAAGTTCAGAGAAGAGCAATTAAAATGATCAAAGGCCTGGAGACTAAAGCATATGAAGAACAGCTGCAGGACTTGGGTTTAGCTAGCTGCTAGTATAAAGAAAATAAGAAATAGGGGTGACATGATAGTAGTATTCCAGTATTTGAGGGGCTGCCGCAAAGAAGACGGCATCAAACTATTCTCCAAAGCACCAGAGGAAAGGACAAGAAACAATGGTTGGAAACTAATCAAGAAGAGAAGCAACCTGGAATTAAGCAGAAACAGTGAGGACAATTAACCAGTGGAACAGCTTGCCTTCAGAAATCATAGGCGCTCCATCACTGGAGATTTTAAAGAAGAGGCTAGACAGTCACTTGTCTGAGATGGTATAGGTTCTCCTACTTGAGCAGGGGGCTGGACTAGAAGACCTCCAAGGTCCCTTCCAGCTTCTCTTCTCTTCTCTTCTCTTCTCTTCTCTTCTCTTCTCTTCTCTTCTATTCTATTCTATTCTATTCTATTCTATTCTATTCTATTCTATTCTAAAATGTTAATATAACTCTAGCTTTGGCCCTGGTTAAAGGTCTGGATATTTAAAGCCTTATAAAGGCCCAATTTTTGTAAGAATTAAAGTAGGTGATGGGAACTCTTGCAAGTCTTTCCAATACTTGACATTCCTCTTCAGATGCATTTGAAATGTTCAGTCCAAGAGGCAGCTAATTAGAGCTTTTCTAGTAATGAAGACAACAATCCAGTTGGCCACAATGTAGTCAGTATTTGTTACCCAATTTTGATCAACTATCCAAATCCTAACTTTGCCCAGAGACAAAACTTTTGTTTTCCTACTGCTCCAATCAGAATCTGTGAATAGTATTTAGGAATGAAAAAGGAGCTCTCTGATGCTTCATACACTTGATCTTATCCAAAAGGGCTGGGGTAATAGAGAAACTGGTACTTGAGAACTGTTAATCCCATCTGGCATGAAATAAAGAAGAGGCTATATCCTGCTGCAGTCACACTATCCTGTCTGGATAGCAATAGCAACAAGAATTCTGAGCTGCTGATAAGTTTTGAGAATTTATGAATTAATAGACAAGGATGAAGTTAAAACAGAAGAGATGTGCTGGCTGCTATTATATGTTTATTTTGTTGTCTTATAAGCTTATAAGAAAAGACAGAAAGATTGAGCTTAATCTGAATGTTGCTTTCTCTAAATAAAGGAAATAAATTTAGGAACATATAAACAAGTATAGAGTGGTATTATTTGTTAAGAAATGTTAAGAGTCTGAGGCTTGCAAGAGACCCAAGAACAAGATTTGGATAAAATTGTGTAGACAAGGAATGCTATTTTTCACAGTACAAGTACCGGAAAAATATTATGTGAATTGGGGGTATTTAGAATGGAATTTTCTTGTTCCGCCAGGCATGGCAGCATTTGCTGAACTACTTTAACAGCTTGATAGTGATTTGAATCTGAATATTCTAAGGTAAATTCATGTGTTTGTATGTATGTTATGTATGTATGTATGTGTTTGTGTGTTACATATCTCCTTTTGCACAATAAAATGGAAATTTGGTGAGAAAATGGAAGATCACATTGCCCTCTTAAATTTTGTTTTGCAGGGCCATAATTACATTTGGACTGTTGGATAAAAAAAAAAGGGAAAATAAAAGACTGACAGACATGTGGATTCAGCCTTCTCTCTCCAAGCAACAGAGATAGGAATGTAGGTCTGATCCAGGTGAGAAAAAGCTTTCTTGCTCAGGCAACTATTATGGTTGCTTTTGTGGTCTTCAAAAGCTTGTTTCCTTTTTATTAGTGTAATAGAATACAAGTGCTGGCCAGAATTTGAAGAAAACTACCAATTATTCCCAGCTGTGAAATAGAGCCATGCTTAAAAAAAGCCTCCCCTTCAGAGACCTGGGACAACAATGATGGGTATCAGATTCCTTCTCTGTCATGTTATAGTAATACTCTTAAGAGATGCCTAGCTCAGGGTCCATGATCTGGCTTATTAAATCTCATTTCATTGTGACAGGTTCAAGACCCATCCCTATTGCACAACACAAGATTTAGCCAGTCAGTGGTGGAGCTGAAACACAACGTGATTCAGTATCTGAAGTTCAGAACATGGTGTCTTTAACAGATAATGAAAAAGGGGCTTGGTTGAACTGGAATTTAAGGCAAAAGGCTGACGTCTTCCAAGGGTAGTTTCTGAGTTGATGGCAGAATTATATCATGCTCTGGGTGGAATATCAGGCAACTGTGTATAATTAATAACTTCTCAATAATCATTCACTGAGAATGAATTAATATTCATTGCTCTCTAATCAGACAAGTGAAAGCAGAAATAAACATTTGAAAACAGCCTTTGGAACAGGAAGAGAGAGACACTGGGGAATTAATGGCTTGAAAATCAGGAATTCATGGCCATGATTATCCAAGAATCCAATTTAAAAGGGCCTGGATGAAACTGGAGTCAGTCAGAACAAGGGCTAACTGCAAAGAAAGTTGGGGAAGCCAGCCACTTGGTTAAGGATGTTTTTTGCATGGGACTGAACATTCTGATAACATCCTATAAGTTTCTGAGAGGAAGAATGGGAGAAATAGTTTCAGGATTCAATACAGACAGTCCTTGTTTAGTGACTGCCTCATTTAGTGACCATTTGCAATTACAATGGTGATGAAAAGTAACTTTGCAACTAAGCCTTGCAGTTATGATCTTTGCAGGTCTGTAAAACAAAGGAAAGCTAAAATCATAAGCACTGTCACATTTCACTTGATAACTGCTTTGCCTATTGACTGAATTGCTGGTCCCAACTGTGGTTGCTAAACAAGGACTACTTGTATGTATTCTGAAGGCATTAAAGTAGAGAATGGAGTGATGAAAATCAGTTTTTATTTGGAAGTGCTTGAGGGCACATACTGCTTTATTTTTTTATATTTATCTCACAAAGGAGGTGAACTGGAAGAATGATTGTCAGCAGGTATTTACCAAAAGAAAGGGGAAGGCTGAAATTATCTGAAGTGATAGCTACAAATTCATATATTTAGAAGGCATGCATGTGAATGATTTTCTATTTGAACTGATGTTTCTTCTGATTTAGTTTGGACTTCTTTAGAACTATTGCTCAAGACTATCACTCTTTGGGCAGCAATTATATGATCATGTTGTGGAACTCAGACATGTATTATATGTATCTGACAAGCACGTGTGTATAGATATGAGCTGATAAATTTAACAAACCAGGGTAGAAAATTACAGTACAGTATCCATGATGAACAGATCTTCATCTGCTTTGGCAGTACCTTATTACCTGTGATATTTCCTGCAGTGCCTAGCCTAGCCATTGCTCCTTGGACACTGAATCTTGTTAGAATTAAATTATTGGAATAGAGGGCAACAAATTCCCATTTGGTTTCCTCACTGATGCAAAATCCCTCCCCTCCTCTAGAGTTAATTCCAAGACAAAAAGACACCTATGGGGTACATGAACATTGGGGTTACATCTTGTCATAGTGATAGTCAACTTGATCAAAGTACAGATGGCCCATGTTCAACCTATGCTTCTGGCACCGCTGATATCATTTCCCACTCAACATTTATTCTAGCCAATTGTAGCATTTCTGAAGAAGGTATATTTCACACTTACTATTGCGTAGTGGGTTTCAGTAGGTAAAGAGCAGACCAGCATAGTTACAACATCATTTATTGACTCAAACTAGAACTAGAGCAGGGCTTTTCAACCTTTTCACCCACTGTTCCACTTTTAGGATATGGCAACATCCGAGTACCACCAGTCGCCTAGCAAGGTGTCAAAAACTTGATGACCAAAAAAAAAAAAAAAAAGGAAAAAGGTGATAAAGTACAGGTAGTCCTCATCTTACAACAGTTCGCTTAGTGACTGTTCAAAATTACAATAGCACTGAAAAAAATGCCCCCCAAGGCATAGTTGAGCAAGACAGCACCCGGCGGTGCTCTTCCTTCTGTCCAAGGTTTTCATTGTTGGGAGCATTTCTGTTGAGGATTGGCAGTGGGGGTGGGGTGGGGGGGGTGTTTGGTTTTTATTTCCCCCATCTGCTGGGTGGTTGCAGCAGGTTTTGGTCACTTCACATGACCCTGGGACACTGTGACCATCATAAATATGAATCAGTTGCCAAGCATCTGAATGTAAATCATAAGACCCTGGAGACGCTGCAACATTCCAGCTGATTGGCACTTCTTCTGGGCTCAATAGAAGCGTCAGGATCAGTGCTGCTTTCCAACTGATTGGTGCTTCTTCAGGGCTCAGCAGAAGCACCAGGATCAGCGCTGAGCTCCAGCTGGAGCCTGGTACTGATCCTGGTGCTTCTACTGAGCCCTGACAGCCCTGGAACTCCAGCCATCTCTTGCTCAGACTTGTGTGGTGCTACCACCAGTTCAACTCATTCCCCTCCCCCACTACCACTTTTCTAGGATGGTTGCGTACCACCTGCCAGGTGCCAATGTACCACAGGTGGTACCCATACCACTGATTGAAAAGCCCTGGACTAGAGAACTGCAGGCAATTGCCTGTAATTTATAGTCTGAGCCCACAGGGCCTTAACCAGTCACAATACTTGAAAAAGCCTGCCCAAATATGAATGTTCAAAGTTTCCTTCCAAAACAGTTGGAGTTAACAGTCAGGGTCATCTAAAGGTTAGTTTCATTTTAGCTTCACAAGCAGTTGGAGCTAAATTAAGTTAGTTTCATTTTAGCAGGGATTAACACAACTTTATATATATATTCAATACATACAGTAACACTATGCTGTAAGATTCAGTTGTGAAATGCTTGGGAAATGAAACTGGGTGCCGTTTTGTCAGCACTGTGAAAATAAGAGATTATGAAATTGTCAATTTAGACTGAATTATGAAACAAAGTGCCAAAAGGGAAAAAGAGAGTACTTCATAACTTCCCTTCTATCAGGGGGCTGGATTAATCTCTCAATACAATATTAAAAAGTAATTTCCTCATCCATTAGGATAGAGGTGAGATACTGAAGTTATGGCAACTGCAGAGAATAGTCAAAAGGACAGTAAGTTACAGGACCTAATCCAGATAACTCAGTGAACTCTGAAAACCAGTTCTACTGTAATCAAGAAGGTGTCATCTGGAAAGGAGGCAGGTTTGTAGAAGCATAATATGAAACATTATGGGGAAAGATTAAAAAAAAGGTAATGTGAAGACTTTCAGAGTTTGCTTACTGAGTAGGGAATGTCTCTGACTCTGGAAATGGGAGGGGGGAAAGAATGAATGTGTTTGCCAATTACATGCTGCCCCAATCTGGGCTGCATACAAAGTATAAAATAATATAAAAATGCAACTAGACCCATAAATAAGTTCTAAAATCACATTAAACTTACTGTAGCTCCTTAATGCCTCTTATGTCCAAAACACTCAATGGAAGAGCATTGGTAGACTATCTTGCCTTCTGAAAACTTAGCAGGAATGACCTTCCTCAGCACGATTGACCTCATGATGGGCCCAATGGAATGTAATATTCTGGAAAGAATGACAGATGTTGGATATACTGAGGCAAAAACTCAGGCAACTGACAAGAACAACAGCAACAACAACAACAACAACAACAACAACAACAACAATAATAATAATAATAATAATAATAATAATAATAATAATAATAATAAAGTTGGAAGGGACCTTGGAGGTTATCTAGTCCAACCCCTAGCTCAGGCAGGAAACCCTACACCATTTCGGACAAATAGCTGTCCAGTCTCTTCTTAAAAACTTCCAGTGTTGGAGCATTCACCGCTTCTGGAGGCAGGTTGTTCCATTGGTTAATTGTTCTAACTGTCAGGAAGTTTCTCCTTAGTTCTAAGTTGCTTCTCTCCTTGATCAGTTTCCATCCGTTGCTTCTTGTTCGGCCCTCAGGCGCTTTGGAAAATAGCTTGACTCCCTCTTTTATGTGGCAGCCCCTGAGATATTGGAGCACTGCTATCATGTCTCCCCTCGTCCTTCTCTTTGTTAAACTAGACATACCCAATTCCAGCAACCGTTCCTCATATGTTTTAGCCTCCAGTCCCCTAATCATCTTTGTTGCTCTTCTCTGTACTCTTTCTAGAGTCTCAGCATCCTTTTTACATCGTGGTGACCAAAACTGGTGCAGTATTCCAAGTGTGACCTTACCAAGGCATTGTAAAGTGGTATTAATACTTCACGTGATCTTGATTCTATCCCTCTGTTAATGCAACCTAGCACTGTGTTGGCCTTTTTGGCAGATGCAGCACATTGCTGGCTCATATTTAAGTGATTGTCCACTAGGTTATGAAAGAGCAGTATGTTCAAGCTCTTTGGAAGGAACCCTTCTCAGATGTCTTCTGATGCCAGAATAATGTAGCTTCTCTTGGGTACCCGATGGTTTAACTTACAAGGACAGAGAACAGAGTTTCACCTTGGACAGCAAAGTGATTCCTGAAGGTTCTGATCAATTTACTGTATATCCTCAATCATTGCAAGGATCCAATGATCCTGCAATCTGCTTCTCAGCCATCATGTTCCCTGTCCCACTGACCTGTGGAAGGGATACCAAATTTCCACTTTCCCAAATTGGCTTTTGCTGCCTCAGTTACATTCCACCCGCAAACCCTTTGTTCCCCTCACCACTTCCTGCTCCAGGAAAAATCCTGACTACCAAAATTCTTGATCCTTGCTATCCCGTTAGGTTGGTGTTTTAGTTTCTCCTCCTCCCCCATTATTGTGAAGATCTCTCTGTGGGTAAGAGGAAGTTCTCATGTAACAGCCTACAGAACTGTTTATTTTTGGAGAAAATTGCTTCCATATAGGGGGAAAGGGCCAGCACTGTACTCTGTCTGTTGCTTGAAGAATTCTCTCATACTGCTGTTTTCACATAAAGTACCTACCCTGGGCTAAAATGTTCAATTTCCTCTTGTCCCTTGCCAGCAGCTCTTTAATTTACTATGTCATTAGTCTATGGCTCTTATTCTTGTAACTGTGTAACTTTAGAGCACATTCAATTTTTGGTAACTTTAGAGTGCACATGCAATTATCTTTGAAGACGCTAAGAAACTGAACTTAGTCCACAACACAGCTTTGGGATCAGTCAAAATTCAGAAGAGCTTCCCTGATATTCTATCCATTTCCAAGTTCAGTCCATAGCACTGATTCCTATTTTGAAATCTGAATCACTGAATATGGCTGCTTTATGGATCGTGTTTTCCACACTAAGCTTGCTTTCACCTTTGTTGCCATGTTTAGAGGGATTGATTAAATAAGTCATTGTGCCATCCTCCTTTTGGAATTCCTCACCAGGAGCAAATCCTCCAAATCTTTTGGAGCTACACACACACACACACAAATTATTTCCCCAGGTAGGTGTGGAAGTGCTATATTTGGCTGCACATTCTGTTTCTGTAAACTTATCTATTTACTGATTTATATTCTTTGATAACTATTCCTAGTTTTTCAACTATATTACTTAGTCCATTCTGAAGATTTCATTGAAAACCAATGTATTATTGTTAGTCAAAACTCTCTCTCTCTTTCTCTATATCCCTTCCCACCTCTTTCTTCTGGGAGCTCAGGATGGTTTCTGTGAGACTCCCTCTTCATTTTTTCCTTTCCAAATATGTAACTGGCTGAAGTCACCAAGTGAGTTTCCATGACTGAGGGTGGACTTGAAACTGAAACAGTCCAATTCCAACAATGTGATTCTTGGTTTATATCCTACGTCATCAGATAAATGAATTCTATTTGTTTTAGTCTATTAAAACCTGTAAAATTCTTATGTCATCTCTAATGTTCCCTTGTTTCTCTCTTTCCATTGTCTTTAACAGAATAACAGAGTCAGAAGGGACCTTGGAGGTCTTCTAGTCCAACCCTACACAAGTAGGAGACGCACTACCATTTCAGGCAAGTGACTGTCTAGTGTTGAAGCATTCACAACTTCTGAAGGCAAGTTGCTCCACTGGTTAATTGTTCTAACTGTCAGGAAAGTTCTCCTTAGTTCTAGGTTGCTTCTCTCCTTGATTAGATCCATTACTTCTTTCCTACCTTCTGGTGCTTTGGAAAATAGGTTGACCCCTTTTCTTTGTGACAGCCCCTCAAATATTGGAACTCTGCTACCATGTCAATCCAATTCTTTCTTTTCACTAGACTAAATATACCTAATTCCTGCATCCGTTCTTCATATGTTTTAGCCTCCAGGCCCCTAATCATCTTAGTTGCTCTTCTCTGCACTCTTTTCAGAGTCTCAACATTTTTTTAATATTGTGGTGACCAGGGCTTTTTTTCTCATAGAACGCCCAGAATGGAGTTCCGGCATCTTTTTTGGAAGGAACCTTGTAAGGTAGGCAAGGCAGGTTGTATGATGTGGGTGAGTTCCGGCACCTTTTTTTTAAGAAAAAAAGCACTGGTGGTGACCAAAACTGGATGCAATATTCCAAGCATGGCCTTACCAAGACATTATAAAGGAGTACTAACACTTTACGTGATCTTGATTCTATCCCTCTGTTAATGCAGCCTAGGACAGCATTAGCTTTTTTGGTGGTTGTAGCACACTGCTGGCTCATATTTAAATGGTTTCTACTAGGACTCTTAAATCCCTCTTATGGTTGCTGCTATTGATCTAGGTTCCACCAATTCTATACCTATACATTCGTTTTTTCTTGTCTAAGTGTAAACTCTTTGTATTTTAATGTGCATCTTTAATATGTGTTTAATGTCTTTAGTGTGGTTCTACTCAATCTCACCCATTCTCTCCCAATGCCTGTTGTCCTGACCAGCAGTTTATTTTGCACTAATTATCAACAATGTCATGGCCAGGCTGCCCAAGCAATCTATAATACCTTTTAGTAAGGTATGACAGTAAGAGTTGTAGCTTGATTGAAGAACTATGTCCTGAAAGACTTTACAAGCTTGAAGAGCATACAGGCAGTAGTACACAGTCTTTAAATGGCCTTTGTTCACTGCAGAATTGCAAGGAATTCTAAACCAAACACTTTCTGAGTTTAAGCAGTATAAGAGCTGTGGTGGCACAGTGGTTAGAATGTAGTACTGCAGGCTAATTCTGCTGATTGCCAGCTGCCAGCGGTTCAGTAGTTTGATTCTCACCAGCTCAAGGTCAACAGAGCCTTCCATTCTTCTGAGGTTGATAAAATGGGGAACCAGATTGTTGGAGGGCAATATGCTGACTTTCTAGGCCGTTTAGAGAGGGCTGTAAAACACTTTGAAGTGGTATATAAATCTAAGTGCTATTGCTATTGCTATAATCAAGGGGGAAGGGGCGAGAAATGCTTTATTTCAGCCTAGCCCATTTTAAAATAAAGCTTCTGTTCTTCCTTGAGCCAATATTTTACATATCATGCCTGAATTATCTATGGCAAAACAAGATATTATTTAAAGTTTTGAATTCTGACTTTACTTAATTGTAATTGTTTGGTGACCCTTTCCAGATTGGAACCACAGCATTTACTCCAATAGCCTAATTGCAAATGTAGGTTTCAACAGAACAGAACAGAGCTGTAAGAGACCTTGGAGGTCTTCTAGTCAAGCCTCCTGCTCAAGCAGGAGAGCCTATACCATTTCAAACAAGTGACTGTCTAGTCTCTTCTTAAAAACCTCCAGTGATGGAGCGCCCACAATTTCTGGAGGCGAGCTCTTCCATTGGTTAATTGTCTTCACTGTTAGGAAGTTTCTCCTTAATTCCAGGCTGCTTCTCTCCTTGGTCAGTTTCCAAACATTGTTTCTTGTTCTGCCCTCTGGTGCTTTGGAAATAATTTGATGCCGTCTTCTTTGTGGCAACTTCTCAAACACTAGAATACTGCTATAATGTCACCCCTATTTTTTATTTTCTTTAGACTAGCCAAACTCAAATCCTGCAGTCGTTCTTCATGTGTTTTAGTCTCCAGGCCTTTGATCATCTTAGTTACTCTTCTCTGAACTTTTTCCAAAGTCTCAACATCTTTTTTGTAATATGGTGACCAAAATTGGGTGCAGTATTCCAGGTGTGATCTCACTATAAAGCGGTACTAATACTTTGTGTGATCCTGATTCTATACCTCTGTTTATACAACCCAGGATTGTATTAGCTTTTTTGGCTGCTACTGCACACTGCTGGCTCATAATCAAGTGATTGTCCACTAGGTTTCCAAGATCCCTCTCACAGTTACTGCTTTTGAGGCAGGTTTCATTTGATCAGTACTTATACCTTTGGCTATTCCTGCCAGCTTAGTATCATCTGCAAGTTTAATGAGTTCCCTTTCTATTCCCTCATCTAAGTCATTTAAGAAGTTATTGAAGAGTACTGAGCCTAAGACGGAACCCTATGGCACCCCACTGCTTACTTCCCTCTGTGTAGATGTAATACCATTGAGGATTACTCATTGAGTACAGTTTGTCAGCCAGTTACAAATCCATCTGATGGTGATGCTGTCTATCCCACATTTTTCTAGTTTGCCAACAAGCAGATTGTAGTCTACTTTATCAAATGCCTTACTGAAGTCTAAGTATACTATGTCTGCAGCATTTCACTGGTCTACTAATTTAGTCACTCTGTCAAAGAATGAAATAAGATTCAGTTTGGCATGATCTGTTTTTAACAAACCTATTGTTCTGACCCAGACAGAACAGATTGCTTTTAGTCCCATCCGGGACAGACAGATAACTCAGCAGAATAAGCAAAGAATATTGCTTTTATTTCTAGGAATCCCAAACAATAACTCACTGTTATGTAGAGATACGTCCAGAAACATATTTCAGCAATATAGCTCATTCCACAGATAATTTGATAATGTATTTTCCCCTCTTCTTCTGCATAAGCATCACATGTTGGCATAGGACCTCCAAACTGTGTGGCTAGGAGACATGAGGTTGGATGAAACAAAGGGATCCCAAACTGGGCACGTAGCCAGTATGTCCTGAGAAGAACTCAGAGGCTCCTCCTACTGACCTGTTAACATGAGATAGCTAACTAGCTAAAACTACGTTTCCCATAAGCCATCTCTTAAGGAGACAGCACTTAACCCAATAAATGCCAGATATTCTAACATATAGATACATGCTCTTGTAAGGTTTACCACGGTCCAGAACACCTATTCTGGCTTCTAGTTATAACTTTGTTTCTAGATTTTTCCTGCCTAAATGTAAAACTTAACTTTTATCCACATTAAAATTCATTTTGTTGGATATGGCCCATTGTTCAAGTTTGTCAAAATCTTTTTGGATCCTGAGCTTGTCTTCTGGGGTGTTGGCTATTCCTGCCAGCTTAGTGTCATATACAGATTTGATGAATTCCCCTTCTATTCCCTCATCGTGTTTCTTTTGAATGGTTTGTATTCTTCCATCAGTATTTTCCAGCCATGAATTTCATCCCACCAAGTTTCAGCAATGGCAACTGTATCCTATCTGCCTTTATGTACTAATATTTCAAGTTCACCCTGTTTGTTCCCTAAACTTTGAGTATTAGTGTATAGGCATTTGAATCCTTTATGGTTTTAGGTATGTTTCTTGTATCTCCTACTTTGTAACTGGGATTTCCATCCTTCCCAACACTCTCCACTTCATTTTTCTTTTTTAATTTCTTCTTTCTCTTTTCTCCCTACCTCCTTATATGATTTTCTGAATATATTCTTTCCAATTCTTGTAAGGTGCAATCCATCCCTTACCAGTAGCCCTTCATCTAGCTAATGCAGACAATGGTCTAGGAAGCCAAAGTTCTATTGACGACACCAGTTTTTAAGTCAGTGGTTTGTTTCTAAAATCCTTTGCTCCCTCATTGGATATTGGCCTTTTGTTGGAAATATAGATGAAAACACCACTTATGCTCCTAATTCTTTAACTTTGTTCCCTACCTGTTCGTAATCTCTTCTTATTGTTTCCAGATTCATTGTTGTGTCATTGGTCCCCACGTGTAGGAGAAGAAACGGGTAGTAATCCATGGGGTTGATTATTTTAGTAAGGTACTTAGTCACATCTTTTATTTTTGCTCCAGGAGACTATATACCTTCCTAGATTGACTGCCTGGTCTGCAGACTATAGTTTCTGTTCCCCTAATAATTGAATCTCCTATCACCAGTATTCACCTTTTTTTTCCCCTTAGGGAAGTCTGGGGTACTTTTCTTCCTGTCACAGGAAAGCTGGGTTGTGACTTTTTAAAGAAACTATTGATGAATGCTCTTTTGTGGGTGTCTGCATATTTTCTTCCAGGGGGAGGCTATGAAAGCGATTGTTCAATTCCAGAGGGGCTTCACTGAAGTAGGCTAGGGTAGATAGTAGGGCTTTGCTCTTGGTTGCTGTTTTCTTTTAAGAGTGAAATGTTTCCATCAGTCTTGCTCTTTAGGTCAGATATGTCAAACACAAAGCCCATGGGCCAGGGCCGGCCCGCTATGTGGTTTCATCTGGCCTGGGGACCTGCTCTGGAAACAGTGAAGGACCAGCCTGCCGCACCTCAGCCCAGCTCGGCCCAGGCTGACCGGGCACTGATCTACAACCTGGTTGTGTCCATCAAAGCCAGAATGTTCTCAGCCTTAGATCCACAGGGCAGCCCTGCCCTACCCCTTGGGTGTGCTGCAAGCAGAGTCCGGCATCCCTCCAGGCTGTCTTGCCCCATAGGCTGACTTCAGCCAGGATGCCGGCGCTAGTCGTCTCCTTTGCACACACTCAGGGGCGGGGCAGATGTGGCGAGGCAGCTCCTTGCTGATTCCAAGGCTGCCCCGTACAAACTTCTTTCCTTTGTTCCTTTCTTCCTTCCTTCTTTCTTTGTCATCTCTTTCCTTCCTCTGTGCTCAGGAAGGGGTAATGAGAGGGAGAGAGATTGCCAGCGCTGCCATGTTACCACCGGTCTTGCTATGCCATGTGGGCGGGTGGGGGCTGTCCCGGTGAAAGGAAAGCCTCATGGCTGTGAGGCTGGAGGT